TGAGGGTTTCTTTTCCCCCACATCCTCACCAACATTTGTTGGTGTTTGTGTTCTTGATGGTAGTTCTTCTAACAGGAGTGAGGTGCAATCTTAACTTGGTTTTGATTTGCATTTCCTTTATTTATCCCTTTAGGGATGTTGAGCATTTCTTCATTTTTTTTCACCTTTTGGACTTCTTTTGAAAAAGCTTTATTTAATTCATTTGCACATTTCTTCATTGGGTTTTTTATTTTGGGGGAAGTTTAGTTTTTTGACCTCCCTGTATATTCTGGTTATTAATCCCTTGTGAGATGTATAGCTGTCAAGGATTCTGTCCCATTCTGTGGGCAGACTTTTCAATTGAGAGACCATTTCTTTTGTTGTGAAGAAACTTTTTAATTTCACATAGTCCCATTCATCAATCCTTTCTTAGTTGCTGAGACATTTGCATTCTATTTAGGAAGTCATTGCCTGTGGCTATTAAGTCCAATGTATTTCCTGGTCTTTCCTGAAGTAGCTTCAAAGTTTCAGGTCTTACATTAAGGTCCTTAATCCAGTTTGAGTTGATAATTTGTTAAAGAGGCTGTCCTTTCTCCATTGTATGTTTTGCACTTTTGTCAAAAATTAGGTGGGAGTAGCTATGAAGATTCTAGCTGGGTCCCCTATTCCGTTCCACTCATCTTCATATCTGTTTTTGTACCTGTACCATGCTGGTTTTATTGCTATGGCCTTTATAGTACAGTTTGAAGTTAGACATTGAGATGCGTCTAGCATTGCTCTTTTTGCTCAGTATTGCCTTGACTATTCATGGTCTTTTTTTGCTTCCAAATGTACGTTAGGGATGAATTTTTGAATCTCTGTGATGAATGTCATTGGAATTTTGATGGAGATTGCATTGAATGTGTAGATTACTTCTGTTAATATAGCCGTTTTCACTATTTTGATTCTACCAATCATGAACATGGGAGATTTTTCCAAGTGAGCCTTGGGGTTGATTTTTCAATCTCTGTGATCAATATCATTGAAATTTTGTGGGAATTGAAGTGAACATTTAGATTTCTTTTGGTAATACAGCCATTTTCACTGTGTTGATTTTACCAAACCATGAGCATGGGAGATCTTTCCATCTTCTGTAGTCTTCTTTAATTTCTTTCTTCAATGATTTATAGTTTTCGTTGTAGAGGTCTTTCACCTTCTTTGTTAAGTTTATTCCTAGGTATTTTATTTTTTGAGGCAACTGTAAATGGAATTGTTTTTCTATATTCCTTCTCAGCCTCTTCATTGTTGGTGTATATAAAGGCTATTGATTTTAATAATTAGATTTTATATCCTGCTGCTTCGCTGAAGCAGCTTATGTTGTCTAAGAGTTTTTTGGGTCTTTTAAGTACAAGATCATGTCATCTGCAAATTGGTGTAGTTTGACTACTTCATTCCAATTTGTATTCCTTTTATATCTTCTTCCTTTCTAATTGCTCTGGCTAGGAATTCCAAGAGTATAATCAGTAAGAGTGGAGAGTGAACACCCTTGTCTCATTCATGACTGTAGAGGAAATGGTTTCTGTTTTTCCCATTTATTATTATGTTGTTTATAGGACTGTCTTATATAACCATTTTTATGCTAAGGGACATTAGTTGTATTCCTACTTTCAACAGAGCTTTTATCATGAAAGGATGTTAAATTTTTCAAAGACTTTTTCTGCCTCTATGGAGATGATCATGTGGGTTTTTGTCTGCTTCTGTTAAAATGCTGCATTACATTTAATGATTTATATATGTTGAACCACCCCAGCATCCTGTGATGAAACTGACTTAAACATGGTGCATGATCTTTTTGATGTGCTATTGAATTTTGTTTGCCAATATTTTTTTGAGGATTTTCACATCTATGCTCATTAAAGAAACTGGCCTGTATTTTTCTTATTTTGCTGTGCCCTTGTCCACTTTTGAGATGAGTGTGATGCTGGTTTCATAGAACGAGTTTGGCAGTGTTCCTTCCATTTCTATTTCATGGAAAAGTTTGAGGACTATTAGTATTTGTTTTTCTTTGAAAGTCTGGTAGTTTTAACAGTGAGTCCATCTGTTCCTGACCTTTTACTTTTCTGGAATATTCTTTATTGCTGCTTCAATTTCTGTTTAAGTGAATAACACCCTGTTGTTTCAATTTTGGATGGTCATATATATCTAGAAATTTGTCCATTTCTTCAAATTTTCCAACTTATTCGAATGTAGGTTTTCAAAGTTGTCCTTAGTTATTCTCTGGGTGTTTGTTGTTACCTCCCAGTTTTCATTTCTAATTGTATTAATTTGGGTTTCTTCCCTCCTCTTTTTAGTCGCATTTGCCAGGGACTTGTCAATCTTATTTATCTTTTCAAAGAGAACCAGCTTTTTGTTTCATTGATTCTTCTTATGGATTTCGGGTCTCTATTTCCTTGGTTTTGGCCCTTATGTTTATTTTTCTCCTTGTGCTAGATTTGGTTTCAGCTTGTTCTTATTCTTCTAGAAGTTTGAGCTGCAGCATTATGTCATTTATTTGAGAACTTCCTGTTTTTCATAGACGCATTTATGGCTATAAACTTTCCCCTTATGGCTGTCTTTGCTGTGTCCTATAGGGTCTGATTGGTTGTCCTTTCATTCTCATTAAATCTCAGGAACTTTTATATTCCCCCCATTATTTCTTCAAAGACCCACTCATCATAGAGCAACTAGTTGTGCATTCTCCAGGTGTTTAAGTATTTTCTGCTGTTTTGTTGTTATTAACTTCCAGTTTTATTGTGTTGTGGTCAGAGAGTATATAGAGGATTATTTCAATTTTCTTGTATTTCTTAAGACTTCCTCTGTGACCTGAAATATGTTCTATTTTGCAGAAAGTTCCATGAGCTGCTGAGAAGTATGTACATCTTTCTGTTCCATGATGGAATATTCTGTAGATTTCTGTCAGGCCCTTTTGATCTATGGTATCATTCAATTCTAAAGATACTTTGTTGATTTTTTTGTCTGGATGACCTATTTATTAACGACAGAGGATTATTAAAGTCTCCTACTTCCACTGTGTTGGGGTCTATCTGTGTTTTAAAGTCCAGTAGTGTATGCTGAATGATGTTGTGTAGACCAATATTGGGTGTATAAAAGTTAACAATTGATACTTCCTGTTGTTGTGTTGTTACTTTTATTGGTATGAAGTGACCATCTTTGCCTCTTCTGACTAATTTAGGTTTGAAGTCTGCTTTATCTGATATAAGTATAGCTACTTTTGCCTGTTTTCGGGGTCTGTTACCTTGGTAAACCTTCTACCTTTTTACACTAAAGTAATGTTTGTTTCTGTTTCTAAGGTGGGTTTCATATAAACAACAGATGGTTGGGTTTTCCTTTTTAATCCAGTTTACCAATAGGTCGAGGTCATTAATATTCAGTGTTAATATTGAGAGGTATATGGTATTTCCTGCCATTTAGTTGTTTTTGATGTGTAATAGTTTGTGTGTGTGTGTGTGCAACTGTGCTACTCTCCAATTATGTATCTGCTCTTCTCTTGAGGTTCAATAATTCCCATATTTTCATAATTATGTTTTCAGCTCCTGTGTGTAGAATGACTTTCAGATTCTTCAGTGGCTGTTTAGTGATCATGTATTGTTTGAATTTCTACTTATCATGGGAGGTTTTTATTCCTCCTCCAATTTTGAATAATAGCTTTGCTAGCTTTCAGCTAGTATCCTAGGCTGAATTAGCTCAGCATTCCACCCCACCCCACCAAGCAAAAGTAAAATTTTTCCTCCATTTATTTGGTCACCAATTTTGTCAGATGGAGTGTGCGATCTTCCTACCAGCTGTGCTGGAATATGTTGTTGCCTTCAGAGCAGATGATGTGTTGTGCTCACCTGGCAGCATTGAAATTTCACTTGGACAGAATTGGGTAGCTCACACAGACTCAATTCAAGGTTCTCTGTCCACAAATTATGGCAGGTCCAGGACATAGCAGATGCTTGCAGAACTCATTCTGCAGTTCTCTGCATTATGTTTTTAAAGAGAGGACAAAAGAAGCCAAAAAGAATAAAATAAAAGAAAATGGATAAAATTGCTTTTCAGTGGTTCCAATTCACAGTACGCAAGCTTTCAGGGCTATCATGTGCTCTGAAAGGCTTATTTAAGGGTCAGTCATTGTGCAATATGTGTACTGTATGTATTGACAGTGTCTCAGTTGACAAAAAAAAGAGTTACCTGATCCTTGCTCACACAAATCTGTGGTGTTCTTCTAGAATTGTGGAGATCAGGGTTCCATGGTCCATTATCTGCCATCTTGGTCTTCCTCCAACAGTCTTCTCAAGGTTAATTTTCAAACACTGATTTACTTCTACCTCCAATAAAAAGTCATTCATAAATCAACTTTTAAAACTGACATGTATTAAATCTTATAAATTACCTATGCTGTTATGGAAAATCTCCCTAGAAATGAGCGAAAAACATGTAGTAAACAAAAGATTGGAATAAGTGTTGGATTAAAGCATGTTTCTGATTTTAAGGACTGATATTGGAAAATGTCAGTACTCTCCAAATAAATGTACTCAATAAAACTGATGTCAAGTTCTAAAATATTTTTGGTGAAAAGTACAATTTGTTATAGGATTGGAAGACTATCAGGTAACAAGGATTCTATTGTTTTGTTCTAATTACCTGGAAAGTGTCAAATTATTACCCTCATAATACATGTGGTTTCATTTTTAAGTGTAGTGTTTTTGAATGAATAAATACAGACTACATGCAGGTTTAATTCAATGATGTAGGCTTATCTTTTAGAAGTTTTGAGAATAGAGAACAGAGAAGTAATGAGAGGAAGTGATAATTTAGGTCACCATAAAGCACAAAGGAAGTATTTATTTGGAATTTTTCACTGTACAGCATTATATTATTTGGTGTTTAAAGCATAAAAGCCGAACAATTTGGCTAAAATGAGATTTTTTAGGAGACTGTATTATGGAGGGAAGGATATATTGAACACAGATTAATGATAATTCATTCTCTTCATTCATTCTCTGGACCAGTGTGTGAGGTGTCCAGATCATCAGTATGCCAACATAGAGAGAGACCGCTGCCTCCTAAAAGCTGTGAGCTTTCTGGCTTATGAAGACTCTTTTGGAATGACACTGGCCTGCATTTCTCTGAGCTTCTCTGTGCTCACACCTTGTGTTCTTGTGGTTTTTATAAAGTACCGAGATACTCCTATTGTCAAGGCAAATAATTGAACTCTCAGCTACATCTTGCTCATCTCCCTCACCTGCTGTTTTCTCTGCTCCTTGCTTTTCATTGGATATCCCAGCACAGCCACCTGCATTCTCCAGCAGACCATATTTGGAATTATGTTCACTGTGGCTGTTTCCACTGTCTTGGCCAAAACTATTACTGTGGTTCTGGCCTTCATCGTCACTTCTTCAGGGAGAAAGGTAAAGCAGTTGCTATTGTCACGCATACCTAACTTCATCATCCCAGTCTGCACTCTGATCCAAATGACTATCTGTGGAATCTGGCTTGGAATATATCCTCCCTTTATTGACACAGATGCACACTCTGAACATGGCCACATCATCATCCTGTGCAACAAGGGCTCAGTCACTGCCTTCTACTGTGTCCTGGGATACCTGGGCTCCCTGGCCCTGGCAAGCTTCACTATGGCTTTCCTGGCCAGAAACCTACCTGATGCATTCAATGAAGCCAAGTTCCTGACATTAAGCATGTTGTTCTGCAGCGTATAGGTCACCTTCCTGCCTGTCTACCACAGCACCAAGGGGAAAATCATGGTGGCCGTGGAGATCTTCTCTATCTTGGCCTCCAGTGCAGGGCTCCTGGGCTCCATCTTTGTGCCTAAGTGCTACATCGTCTTGTTGAAGCCAGACAGAAATTCTCTGCATGACGTCAGAGATAAAACTCATTCTAG